CAGCTGGAGAGGTCTGAGGGGAGCCCCGTGGAGCTCTACTACTCCATCCAGGCGGGGGATGAGCGAGGGGAGTGCGCCAAGGAGGACGTCAGGAAAAGCAGCGGGATCCGCTCGGGGCGCAACGACATCGACGAGTCGGGACCTCCCCTGCAGAGGATCGGAAGTGTTTTCCTTTACCAGACACATGCTGCCCCTTCTTTAACTGAAATGAGATTGGATAATAATATTGTCATCCAGTACGCACCAAAGACCGTCAAGCAAGGGGACATTCTGACTTTCCTTGTATCTGTTGCGAAAAACTGCACAGAGGATCAGTTCACACTGAGGTAAGGCTGCTTTGTGTTTCTTGGTACCTTACTTTTAGTTTCTCTGCTCTTGGAAGTCACTTTCTCTGTGTGAATGGCCTAACAGTCCATCAGTTGCTGCTCTCCAGTTCTCACGTTGCTCATGCTGATACTGTATGAATTGTCTGAGGTGTATCTCATGGAGCGGAGGCCTTTTGCTGAAGTTCTCCTTTGAGAAATGCTTACAAAAATTGAAATTATAGAGCTGGGACAGATCTATGTACTAAGAGGCGATAACATCTAAATTCTTGAGAGCTGGAGTTTGCACTTCTCCTAATCTCCCACTGGACTCATGTTGAGATTAATGAAGCTTAAATCCACAGAGTTATTTACAGGAAATCAGCAAGAATTGGGCATTTAGGTAGGAGTCACATGTTTCAGCATCTCTCCCCAGCTTGTTGTGAGCTCTGTTCTGTATTGCAGGGTGTTTGAGGCTCCTAAAGGTTATTGATCTACCAAAACAATTTCTGGAAGTGAGAAACTGCCCTGGGGGTGGTGGTTGGTGTTTGGATGTGACATCAGGTGCCACACAGGTTCATCTCATTCTGTCCAAGCACTGAGCTGTCCAGGGGCAGCTCCCTGTAAGCACCAGTACAATCCAAGCCAGACCAGCAAGGACTGGGCTGGAGCACAGGGCAGGTGTGTGTGCCTGCAAGGGGAACTGTCCAGTGTCTTTTCTTTCCAAGCCTGCCCCTGTGTTCAGCGCTGTAAACTGTGGGGCTGATGTGTGGGAAATCCATGTCTGCAGAGAACGTTCCAATTTTGATCCCTTACCAATGACTCGTGCCGCCTCCTCCTGAGCTGAAGGTCAGTGTCACACTCTGGCTTCTGGGGTGAGCCCGATTTGTCTCAGGTGTTTGTCCTAGATGTGGTGGGTGTGCCAAAGCTCCCAGAACGTTCCTAACGCAGCAGGTGCATCCTAGAGGGAGCAGTGCCACAGGCTGGGAACTGCACTCATACCCAGCTGTGCTGAGCACCAGGGACACTTCGGAGCTGCCACCTAAGAAATCCTGAGAGGAAACTCCTTTCTCTGGTGGTTACACATCTCCCATGCCAGGCTGGAAATGGAACATTGGTGGGCTCACACGTCTGCCTTGGCTGGAGTAAGGATAACTCAGATCAGGCACTGCTGGCCTCAGTACTAAGAGCTCAACCCTGTAACTTTTCCCCTTCCCCCAGGGAGATTTGTGGGGGATTTGTGGGGAAACGGTTTGCCCTAAAATCAGGACAATTTCCCTTTGCAGATGTGTGATGTATAAACTGAATAACCACAGCACTTGTGGTTATTCAGCACTTGCTGACTCAAGGGCAATTATTTCTTTTTCATCTGGGGGAGAGCAAGCACATGTCCTCACCATATCAGTTGCTCATCTTGTGAGTCAATCCAAGATTTAAATTGTGTCCTGAGTACTGATTTCAAGCAGACAATCCAAGTTCCTCATAGCAAGTGTTCAGGGATGGCTTTGTCTTTATTCTCTGCACCAATGACTTAATCACAGCGGCAGACATGGCAACTTGGACATTTGAAAATAGCTTTAAATATAAACATTAAAAGCAATTAAGGTAAAAAATGTTTATTGTTTTTACTTTGTAAATGTAGATTCTTAGAGATCTCACTTCAAAGCTTCTCTGTTTCCATGAGCTGTAATCCATTAAAAGTGGAGCTAGTTACAACTATGATAATTGTTACATATGGGCTTATAAAATTTTCAAAAACCTTGCTTTGTTTAAATTAGGATGAAAATGCAGCACCTGAACTTTTTAAGGAGTACTTCTAAAATGAATTTTCTGGAACAAAAAGGAAAAGATGTGTTTGAATTGTAGCTTTTTATTCAGAGATCTAAGGTAACATAAAACAAAAAATAAGCTAAAAATAGGGAGTGAATATCAGTTCAAAATGAAAAGTGTGGCATTCTTGTCTTAAAAACAGCACTTTGGTGTTACCTTTTAAAAGCAGACTTTTGTAACAACTTGCTGTTGGTTTCTTGAGTTTTGATTTCTCGTGACCTCGTTTTCTGAGAGCACCTGGCTTTCAGCCTGTAAGCTGCTGCAGTGTCAGAGTGGGTATAATATTGTTTAATTGTGCTTCTAGGGAGCCACTCCTCCCTTGGATCTGGGTACAGCATCTCTGAGGGGTTTGGGGTTGGGTTTTTTTGGTCAGAATTGTGATTTCTGTGTTCATCCCTCCGTGGCATGTTCTCCATCTGTCTGGTCTCATTCTGATCATCTCTGATAGAGGAAAAGATCTCTTCCCCCCTCCCCCAATGTAATTGCTTTATGAGAAAAAATTGTATTAATTTTTATTTCAAACCAGTCCATTATTTTCCAAAGTTCTGCCTTGAGTGGCAGCAAGATTTGGAACTGTATTCATGAAGTGAGGCCAAGGGCTGCTGGCAAAATGCTTTTACCATTGCTTTTGCTCCAGTGGACTGGAAACTATGGCTTGAACAGATGGAAAATATAGGATATACAGGTCAAAAATGAAGAAACAGACATGCAAAACAGCCAAAAGTAAAAAATTACTCATCACTACTGAGTCTTTTCTGGTTCAGAACTATTGCGCCTAGAGTAAACCCCATCCCCTTTCTAAAAGGAAATTGTCTTCAAGGGGAGCCTTCTAGAAACTTCTGAATACTAAAAGATTTAGGGAAAAGTACCCTTGGTTTTTATTTTGTGCTGTTCTGCACAAGGGAAGATTTAGAGGTGTCAATGTGGAACTGATGGACTGTTTTTAATTTTGGGAAGGAGTTGGCCCATAAGAGCCATGGCCTAGGTTTTGTTTTTTAATGAGCTCAGGAAATTAAAAATATTTGTCTTGACTCCATATGAGTGTGAGAGATGGAGGAAAGGAAGGAGATAAAATATAGATGATGGGTAAATATGGAATATTGCTGTAGCTTGAAAGCTTCAGCTGAGCCTTAGGAAACTGAGGGATTTCTCAGCCTCATTCAATGCTTGCTTCCCCTTTCCCCCCTTCTTTTCCTATGCTGCTGGCCAGGGCAGGCTGAAGGCTCTTCTTCCTTCCCATCACGGGTGCTGAAAGTTTCCTGGTGTTCATAGAAAATATTCCAGTCTGCCTTGTTTTGCTGTTTTTCTGCAGTCTCATGGTGCAAGTATTGGAAACTGAAGTGAGATCTTTATTGGAAGTGTTTTTGCTGAGAAAGGAAAACATGAAGTATAATTTCATGTCAGTCCTTCCAAATGCTCTCAGCAATTGCAGCCTGAAAGCTGTGGTGTGCCACAATTCCAGCTCCTGTTTGCAGCAAGCCCCAGTTGTGCTGGCAATGTGTGTGTGCAGGGACACAGGGCTTTGCTGAATGCACCCTGCACGTGCAGGTCTTTGCTTATTCGCTTTTGTTTGTATTGCTGGGCCTAATAAACATAACCTTCTGATTTCTTTTAAAGTCATCAGGATTGATACTTTCTGCTCGCAGCCTTTTAAATTTGTTTTCCTATTTCTGGAGATGAATCAGCAAAGAAATTAGAGAGTGAGAATTGCCTTAAGCTACTGAGTGTGAGGCCTGGATGCATTCATGAGTGGAAAAAAACAGCAGCTTTTTTTCGTTTTACATTTATTCGATTTCTAATTATACTTCATGAGTCCCGTGTGAGGGAATGATTGAAGGTTGAAATAGAAACTTGTAAACCTCCAATACTGGAGAAAAGTAAAGGTTTTTTTATAAACTATCAATGCTATTTCTGCATTTGTAAACCCAAATGGGGGTTGGACATCTGTAGGTACCAGTTTTATAAACTCTTGGGAAGCTTTGTGCCTTCCCTCTGGTATTTTTAATGATGATAATTGTGGGAATACAGGGACTGGTGTGGAATTGTTGTGGTGAATAAGCAGTGCTTATTGATAATTGGGAAGATTTTCCCCAAAAGGCCCCAAGAGTTTGTTACATGAGCTTCTTATTCTCTGTTTTATCTGACAATCAATGGACAATAATCCAGCAAACATGAAAAGGGCTGCATAAATACATGAGGGGAGCAGAGTCCAGATCATTAGCACTCAATTTACACAGCAAGAACATTTGAACAAGACTGGCATTTTATCAAATTGCTTGTGTGCTCTTCTAGTGCTGGGCTAAATCAAATCTTATTCTTCGTGCTGAGCTGAATCACATTTAAATAACAGAAACAAGTGGTGATCAGGAAGGTTACCAGCACATAAAACTGAGATGGGCTTTTCTCTAGGCCTTAGATTATGTGGCTATTTCATGGAACCCCAGCCCTGAACTTGTACCTCCTCTGCCAGATTGAAAAGAATCCTATTGTACACTTTTTATTCCTTGTTCCTTAGCTCTGGTTCTGTCAGTTAAAACATCCTCTTCCACATTCTGGTTTAAACAGCTTCTAAAATCTTCTCATAACTGATTTTTTCCCCTCTCTTCTAACTGTGAGAGAAAAGGGATTAAAAAGAACCAAACAAAACCTAAATTATCTCTTCTTTTGAAATCCAACCTCTGCGTTTCAGCTTTTTCACTGCTCAGTCCTGATGTAAAAATAAGATTGAGGCAGGCAGGAGTTGGACACTGACCTAAGAAGATGAGAGTCCTGTGTCTTTAGTGTTTTGTGGCAATAACTGGTAATTTCTGTATTGTTTTGTGACAATAACTGTTCTTTCCCAGCATGAGCCGGTCAGAGGTGTTTGTGCAGCAGGGCTGGGTGGAATCACCCTGTGCCCCTGCCTGGGGAGGGGCTGCTCCAGCCGGCCCTGGGGGTTTCTGCTGTCTTCAGCACACTGTGCCAGTAGGAATTAACTTTCATAGCCTGTTTATCAGCTAGTCAAGCAAATATAATTTTTTCCATCTTCTGGATGGCAAAATAGCTTTCCTGCACTGCTAAGTGACTTGCTAATGGCCCAAAATTGTCAGTGGCACTGTGGAGACAAGTGCTTCAGAACTATTGACTTCCAGGGCACTCTATTACCTCCTGTTGCACTTGCAGATTATATTAAGAAGAAAATAGTTCCTTCTGTT